GGGGGCAGTGCCCTCCTCCCTTCTCCCTTCTTTCCTCGATCCTGGGCAAAGCACCTTTTCCGGTTCCCTTTGTCCTGACTTAAATAGGGCAATTCGCAGAGGCGCCCTATTGGCTCAATCCCGAGGGGGATGGCAGTCTGATCTGGTGGCCAGAACTAAGCCTAACCTGGTTCCAAAACCGGGGAGGTCGCAGGGACCAAAACCCCTCTCCTGCCACCAGAACCCTCCCCTCCCCCTCCACGTCAAACCATGACAAGGTACCAAGTTTAACCACAAAACAAAGGAGGAAAACAACTAAAATATCCTTTAGAAGATTAAGAAGGTTACGACATTTAGGTAAAATAACCTTAGCACCCTCACACAAGTACCCTGATTTAGCTTTCACTATGGAATCAAGGGTTGTGATTGACTCCTTGGATCACCTGCAAGTGTCTAAACCATGTCTTTGTCCACATCTGAGCAAATTGATCTCCTTTTTTAATCACTAGTGAGAAATGGAAATATTTTGGGCACACTCACTTCCTTCTAAAGTGAACTTCTAAAACAGGTTAGACAAAGCATATACTAAAAGTACTGATTTCATTAAGTATAGAAAGGAGGCCACAGTGTCCAGGTCATCTGTAGAATCTACCTTCTAGATATCTAAAATCAGGTGAAATGAATACTGGCTTAAAAGATACTGAATCAGTTTGTGACTACATGGGATGATGGAGTCTCTATGTCATTTAATCTCTGCCTCAGTTCCTGTCTGCAAAACAGTTGAAATGCTACATGATTTTCTCCTACTCTCAGTTTATCAGATTGATTTCAGTAGAAGACCTCGGAAGCAGAGACTGGCTTACTAGCCAGTATCTTTTTATCCAGAATCTAGTCCCACTCATTTGCTGTGCTAGGTATCACCGTGATATTATTCAGAGGAACAGTAATCTGTACATGTACTTGAATTGTATGTATCATACATTGTTGTACACAATGAGAAGTCTGCAGATTGTTTTGCTTTATACCATTCCTAAGAAGCCTATCCATAGACATGCAGTTCTAGACACTGAGTAAGGGAAATGTGAAGACTTGGCATCTTTCTTTTAGAGTCTTTGAGTTACCTTTTTTGCTCATCCTTCTGCCTTGACAGATAATGTTTGAAACATTATCATAACTTTTTTTCCATGGTTGTTGGGGTCGTTACAAATCAATAGAAGCATTGATGTACAAAGCCTCTAATTCCTTACTCCCATTTCTGCCAAATTACTTCAGTTGCTGTGGTGCAAAACTTCAGTGAGGCAAACCAGACTAGGCTGCTGATGTAGCAGAACCAATGGTAACTACTCCACATCAGTTCCCTGGTGCCATTCCCTGCACAGAGAAAAGTACTGGAAATTAGTGGAATGAAAATAACCCTTAATTAGTGAGCCAACAAGGCTCACTATGTCATGATGTACTGTAATACTTCCTACATGTAACAGCAGTGAGCTCTTTCATTAAAGCTTTATGCCATTGTGTCAAATACACAACTTTCTGAAATGACTGTCCACCTTCGTGGTGGTTGACGGACTCAGCCTAACCCACGACAGAGTCACATGCTTTTTATTGGCACAGTACTCCTGAAAATGTGTGTGTTCATCTAACAGAGGCACAATGAAAGCACCCACAGGCTTATCAACCTCTTCCAACTATATCAATCTCAAAATTATGTACCTAACACATAGAAATGTTTCCTTTTGATTAATTGTTCTAAGTTTCTCTCCCCAAATCCCATCCTCAGATTTTTATTTACCTTTGACTTTGTAGCTTGCGATAGTTCAGTCATTTTACAGTGGCCTTCAGAGATTCTTTAATTTCTTTTCTACGTAATATTTAGATATAGTCAAAATATCCACTGTATTAAATACTTTTGTTCATATGCTCTCTGTTATTAGAAGATTAAGCTTTAATTTGTCTCAACTCCTAATGAACCCACTGTGCCTCTGCTTGGGTGAGTTGTATGTACATTCCTTTGAGGATTAATCCCTCTGTGCTACCAATTTCTTCAGTCTTCTGATGATTTGCTGTAACAGGACACACTTAGCTACCTATTGCAAATGACACCTTCTGCAAATATCGTATTCTAGAAAGTTGAGATTTGTAACAAGAAGCAATATAATTTATTAGGTCATCTGACACAGTCGGACAAAACCCCATAAAAGTTCTCAGGCGTATAAACTCTTCTTCACATCTGAAATGGAAGTAACATACTTCAAACGAAATACAGAAATTGGTCTCAGTTCAGTTTCATTATTGTTAATCACTGTGACTGAGAGAAAAGGATAGTTAACATCTATGAAGCTGAGGGAGCTGTTAGTAAGGAGAGAGGTGATAAGGTCAGTAGCCTCTACTGGGTAGAAAGAGAGAGACAGATTATTATCCCCTGTGGAGTCACAGGGGTTAGCAGAAAAGATACTGTGAAGAAAATTGTATAATGTGAGATAAACTGGCTTTCTTACTGAGCTCTTGATTTTATGAATCAGAGCAGAATAATAAACATTATATCCAGGCTTACTTTCTGAAGATTTACAGATACTACAAGGGACCACAACTGCTTTGAAATGGAGAAATGCTGACCAAAAAAGACTGGATTTTTAATGAGGCTCTAGTGTCTATAAATGACTTCTTATGAAAAGGCATACTCATGCACATGCTACATTTGCCATAAAGACCCCTATTGCCTGATTCGTATCTCAAAACAAGATAAAAGTAGTCACTCAAACCTGAAATTAGGGCAGGGAAGACACAGCTTGCAGAGGAGAGATTTCATGTGGCTCTGTTACAGAATCTGGTGAATGATAGTAGCTTCATGTTTGTGGTCATGGACCCATCCAGAAATACAAAGTCTGGAAAGCTAAGATACCTTTCAAAAATTTACTCATCCAGAATGATTACTGAGAGCCTCTGCCTGTCCAAATAGGTCAACATTTCCACAGAGACCTAAAACTAAAAGAAACTAGAATTGAAAAGTTTATTTGAATTCTATTTCACATGACCATTGTTCACAGATGCTCTGGAAACACTAAGAAATATTTCATATGCAGTGTTTTTGTGAAGTTTAAAAAATTAGCAGATCAATAAACAATCCTCTGTATCTCAACAGAATGTCAATTTATTTTCTGTGCTATTATTGCAGGTGATTATGTAGTCATGACAATATACTTCGACTTAAGTAGAAGAATGGGATACTTTACTATTCAAACATACATTCCCTGTATATTAACAGTTGTTCTTTCCTGGGTATCCTTTTGGATTAAAAAAGATGCCACACCAGCAAGAACAGCATTAGGTAAGTTGTTAATAATTCCCTTTTCTGCTCTCTTTGTGTAGTTTCTACATTATAATTCAAAAATGTCAACTTCCTTTTAAATAGACCACTGGCTATATGCTTTGGATTATTGCTACCATATCTTGCAGACCCAGATCTAATCACTGAAGCCTCTGGTTTTCTGCCATTAACAGAGTAATTAAAAGTAAACTACCCTGACCCTTTGGAATGACACTGCCACCTATTTTGCATAATATTCTAGAATTAATGTCTGTCTCCTTGTTCTCAGTATGATATTTTAACGACATTTTTGAAGAATAAATTAATTGCACTACTGGCTTCCTTCCCTTCTGAAATTCTCCCCCACAGGGCATTATGTCTTGTATATACAGAAAACTGTGGGATATAATAATATTAACTTATGCAAAGTGTTTGAGCTTGCGTGCTTGAAGTTAAGCTCCACACTAGGTGTACAGATATTTTTCATAGATTGTGGAGATTTATGCCAGTATAGATTTTCCAGCAGCTCATTTATGTGAGGACGAGCACGTGCATTTTAGCATCGTGCTTTAGGATACACTTGGAAATGCTCACCGTTTATTCTTATGTCTATAGGAAAACCTGCAGGTTTTGCCAGCATCAAGGGCATAGGGCTATATAATGGGCAATTATAAGTGTACATCAGAACCGAAGGAAAAATAACATTTTAGTCTAGGTTGCGGTTGCCAAGGTTGCCAATACTAACTGATTCAGAAATCTACCAGTTTAGGAAAAAAGAGGAGGCTATGTCAAGGTTTACATGTCTGTTTTCAAGCATGGAGGTTACCATTCCCAGCTATTCATTGCTTTCTTCTGCTGGAGTTCATTACCATCTCCAGTTCACCATCTGGACTCTCTGAATCATTTCAGTTTGAAGGAACAAATTATTAAAAACTGACCTGCCTCTCTTTTCGGACTGAAATCAGACAGGAGGCATGCAACTGAGTCCCCAGGTTTGAGAGGGTAATACTGCTGCAAGGAAAGGCTGGAGGGCAAGGGCTGCTAACAGGCAGCCTCCTCCTTGGAGGATACACGAAGGTAGCCTGCAGCAGGCATGGTGTTCTTGAGTGCTGCTGCATGCCAGCAAGCTGCCGTTCCACCACAGTATTGAGAGACCGTGTGTACAAACCACATCAGTCTCCCACTCCCCTGAACAGCTGATCAAGTGCACTCAGTACTTCTCATCCTTTTTCATCCGAGTAACCAAGTGTTTACCACAAGTGGTGGCTACTTATATGTGAACCATTTCTGTTAGCTTTCTTTCAAACACCACATAGAGGTGCTCTACTTGATCTCAGGAGGAAGAAACCTTGTTTGACAATGCAGCCTTTACACAGTTGTTTAAAATTACTTGTCCCATTTCTGTTTGTTTCTGTTCTGTACTAATAAATCTGAGCAATCACCAGTTTTGAAGATGCTGTCATTTCTAATACAAATATAAAGGCTCTAATATAAAGGCTCTGAAGGGGAAAATAGAAATGAAGTACTATAGAGATTTTGAAGCTCATTCACTCTGAATGAGATTTTAGCTGCAAAGTCACTTGAACTTGTCCAGAAGTCCGATCCCACTTTCTAAATCCTTCACTCATGCAAAAAACTTTTGGTTATCTATTCAGGGTGCACAAGGCCTGGGTTACAAACATTTTTCCTCCCCAAACTTCTAATTCTTCAATAGCTTAGTAACTTTCAGCTGAATGATAGAAGAAATACGTTATAAAAATTATCTTCTAAGTGTAACTCCTTCACATAACCACATAACCGCAGCTTTATTT